GCTTCATTTGTTTCTTGAAAACAACATTATTGTGGTTATATATGTACATAAAATGAATGGCATTTGATTTTATAAAACATAAGGAAAATGTAATTTATAAAGCATCTGAGTTGATAGTATATGATACGATATAAATTTAGAAATATGATTAAGCATATACATAATGCATATGTATGTGATAATAATGAAAATATCTGAGCTATAAAGCATACATCCAAGTTATTTTAATTTTGTTATTGCAACTGAATAAAAAAATATAAATATTTAGTGTTCAATTTTAAAATTGAAATCAAATTTTGAAATTTTTAAACTTCTTTCAATTCATAATTTCAATTTGACATATTGAACATTATACTACTTTATTAAGCAAAAGAATAAGTCAAGAAAAATTTTGTTATACATACGATTTAAAAATTCATTCAAATTGAAATTTAAGAACAATGTGTCATAAGCAAAATTGATCACATTAAAATTAAATAAATTGAAATTAATTTAAAAAATAATAATGATTATTGATTACATAATTAATTAAAAATTTTTACTATAGAGAAATTTCAATAGAAGAATATTATTAATTAATGTTACATCACACAACTTACGTATAAATTATATTTACATTTACGTATAATTATATTTTATAAGAATTTTTTATTGTAATTATAATTTCAAAATATTTAATTAATTAAATATAAATTCATTTATATATATATATATATATATATATGTAATAAAATGTATTTTAAATCTTGTATAACACTTAAATATTTAAAAAAATTCAATTAATAATATTAATAATCTCTTATGCAATAAATTTTAATAACTAACAATTTAATCTATGTATAACAATAATAATTGAAATTTTAATTTTCTCCTAGATATATGCAATTTTTTCAGATCTTATTATGTAAATTTATTATTTTATAAAAGCATAATTATTAAATACGAGTAATTTAATATTACTCGTATTTAAAATTTATTATAATTTTTATATTTATAATTAAAAAAAATTAAATTGTAGGTAATAACAATTGATTTTCCACTAGGGAGTAGGATAACACAATGATCGACATTATTTATCGTTTAAACGCCTGCCTTAGAAAATTCACCACAAATTATCAAAGATATTTTTTTAAAAAGAAAAAAAATTAATCAAATAAATCAATTAATATTAAATTTGTGTGGTTTTAAAAAAAACATTACCGAATTAACAAGAAATTTATTTAAAATTAAAAATCATTGCAGTATTTCAAAATATTAACACTTCCTTACTATAGATAAGAACATAAACGAATAATGCAACTTTATTTTAATATTTCTTGAAAAATATCGCAATATGAAGTAAAATCTATTCAAAAAAAAATTCTTGCAGAATCTATTACATCCATGAAAATATCTCATTTACTCAAGTTTAATCGCTAGTAATACCATCGGATATTATTTCTTTAATAATATGTGACTGGAGTCTCAAACTCTGAAGTATTGAACAGACTAAGGAAACAAAGAGAACTACTGCTGACAATCAAAAAACAAAAAGCCGCATATTTTGGTCATGTAATTAGGGGCCAGAAATACGAACTTCTGCAATTAATTATCCAAGGAAGAATTGAAGGCAAACGAGGAGTGGGAAGAAAGCAAATGTCCTGGTTACGAAATATTAGAAACTGGACAAATATAAGAACAATTGGAAATTTAGTTCATATAGCATCAAATCGTGAGGAGTACGCTAATATTGAATGCCAGCATTCGCTAACTCATCAAAGGTACACGCTTACATCCAGCAGTGGATATGCAGCAGAAGAAGAAGAAGGAATTCGTATTTGTTTTAAAAACTCAATAAATTCAATAATATGAACTTGATTATTTCAATGCTAATATAAAACTTAACTGTATATAGCTACGTGAAACGTACGAATTTATAAAAAAAATAGAGATAAATTAGTATTTTCTATATATATATATATAATAAAATATTTAACATTATTATAACAACAGTATATAAGAAGCAATGAAGGCAATTATCGCGCCATGCTTTCTTCCAATTACAATAATATTGTGCATAATTCCGGCATACTGGGTACTAAAATAAAAAAACATAATAATTAGTTTATTAAATTTAAATGTCATTGTAATTATATTTGTAAATATATTTTAAATATAGCCTCAAACTATGTTTGGTGTCACAAACAAATTAAATATAATTCAAATGTTCATACACACACACAAAAAACTAAACAAAATTCAACAACAAATTAAATATTTTAATAAGAATTTTATGGAAATTTAAGCAAAAAAAAAAAAATTTAATTAATAATTTTTTTTTATCATTTATTTTATTATAATTAAAAATCCCATTAAATTTTGTCTCCATGGTGCATGTTGAGTATTTCAAACTCATACTATACCTACAATAATTGTATTTTAAAATAAATAATTGTTTTTTTTTGCTTTCTCTCTGAACTACATTTTACAAAAATTAATTAAAACAAAAACTAAAATAAATTTTGTGAAATAAAAAAAAACACAGCATTTTATTATCTTTTAACACGTCCCATATATCTTTGTTTCTTGTTTTTTATTACAAACTAAAAAAAATATTTGCTAAACTATCATGTTACCATCACCAAATCAGAAACTAGAAAATTCAGAAAAACTAGAAAAATAAATTATAACAAAAATTTTTCTTTTAATTTTTCTGTTTTACAGTCTAGCATAAAAACTCACCCTCAATAATATTTTTCAAATGTTCTAGATTTAAGTGTGTAAAAACAAAATACTATATAATTATTTTGGGTAGTCTGCTTTACGTTATACTAAAAAATAGAAAACTGCATACATGTCTGGAAAACTCATTAACTAAATTATGTACATTCAAAAATATAAAAATTGTTTGGGACGCCAAAGAAGAAGTAGCACGCTTTTAAAATACAAAATGACAAAATATATAAAATAATTTTTTTTATTTTTTTGCTCTACTCTTGTTGTATTACAAAAAATTTGTTGGGGTAGCAAATTTTTATTTTCCGTTTTGATTTTATTTATTTTAATTTTCATTATTTTTTAGTGTTTTCGTTGCATACGACAAAACAATACGACAAAAAAAAAATGTTCATTTTAAAATTTTGCTTTGTTGTTTTTTATTATTTATGGTTAGTTAACAAATGAAATGATTTTACTTACAATCAATTACTTTTAATAATTCTCTCGGTTGATGATCTTATACTGGAATATAGTATTACATTTACTACATTTTAATTGCTACATTTTATTTTACTATATTTTGTTTACATACGCGTACTAATAAGTAAGAAAATCTAAATGAGCTAGTTTCTTTTTCTCCTTCTTCACTTCTAATAGGAATACTTCTAGTAGGAAGCATATGATGCAAGAGCTCTTTAATTTCGTAAACGGGAGGTATTCCGTAATACTGGTTTGGTTTATTAAAAATTATATTTATTCTTATTTAGTTCTAACTTATCCAAAATACATAAAATAGCATATTATAATAAAAGCTTAGAATTAAATATAATTTATTAATTAATCCAATATTTAGAAATCTTTAATACAGTATGCAATATCCGAAAATAATTTCTTAACCCAAATATTTGTAAGTTACAAAAGAATATGTGATATGAATGCTGTTATATGCTATATACATTTTGTAGTAAAATAAAGAATTTCCTGATGATGGCAGTAAATAGAACTTGTTTCCATCAATACATATACAATTCGCAAATTTTTTACATATTCCTATATACATGTAGAAGTAAAATTAAATCAAAGATAAAGTGCTTTACTATCCACATATTCTAATATTTTTTTTTTTTTTTAAATAAACCATAATATACTGCATATAGAATGATTGAAGAGGAAAAAAATCATCCCCATCACATAATAATATACAAAATAAAATTACATTACGTGCATTATTATAAAAAGTACGTTATCCAAAGAATAGTTTTAAAATTTTGTTAATCTCAAAATCGCATCTACAATTAAAATAATAAATTATAAGACACTGGATATAGGAAGCCATAGTATTAAAATTTGTAAAACATCTACTCGTACATTATTAAATTTTTGGCGCATTGCAATATCAATAATTTGTAGCACTTGCAGTATGTGTTCGAATATGGTATGAATTAAATCAATTGAAGGTAAACTAAAATTACAATAAGAGTATCTTCAAAAGGGATAAGAAGAGAGTATCGCTCTCACAATTCAAATTGAATCATTACAAAATTCTCATTCATATTTAAATACTAATAATTCTACTTAAATACAAAATTTAGTTCCCCCCTCATATTTCCTTACGGCCAGGAGTAGTAATTACAGAAAAAAATATTCGTGATTTATTTGATTTGCCAATAGGTTTTAAAATATATAAAAAATTCAGCCTATTTTTTATTCTTAAACATATTGAATGAGATTCTCATATTTACAAACCCCGTTTTTGACCTTCTGCTTTTACTTCTGATATTTAAACTGGTTCGAATTTTTAAATAATACATTTTCTTAACACGAATTCCATGCATGGGAAACTAAATTTGCAGTTTTTATATATAAAATTTTATTAACATCATTTATACAAAAAAAAACCTTCTAATTCAACATAATACCATACACTAAACCAGTGAAAAACAGGAAAAAAGAGCATAATTGAAGCGATGCATACACAAAATGACATACTGTATATGTAGTAGGTATGCACATGCATATTTCTACAATAGTATTATAAAAGTAAAAGAAAAATTATATTCTCTATTATATGTCACCCAATAAACACAATAAATTTTGTGTCAGTCTAATAAAGTGCAATCATTAATCAATCCATCACACCCAGCATACGATCGAGACAGATTTTTCTACAAAAACAAAAAATAAGAAAAATACTATGAATTTTTTTTTATAGTTTTCTTTCGTCGGTACCCTAAAAGAGTTCAATTTCAAGAGTTCAAACCTTTTTTTTTGCTTTTTGTTTTTTACTTTTAATAAAAAAAAAACGAAAACTATTTTGTAATTTAATGGAAAATATTCAGTGAGTGTGTGAAAATTTTAAGTGGTTGTCGTTTTTTCCTTTTATGAACCAAAAAAAAAATTCCTCAGAAAAAGGATCATTTAAAATTCGATACTATAGGGAAAAAAAGGTAATAATTTTGTTAAAATTTTATTTAAAATTTTAAAATTTTCTTTTTTTTTGCAATTCAACTTATTTTCATCAGTTTAAAGCAATTTTCAAAATTGATTTGATTTAATAAAAAACGAATTGCTATACTAAAGGTGCAGCCCTTAAAAAAAAATTAAATTAAAAATTATATTATACCGTTTGTTCAAAAAGAATGAAAAAAAAGTGAATTATTTTATTCGAAATTGGTGAAATTCGAAAAAAAAAAAATTGAAAAGGACGAAGCAATCAATTCCTGTTATAAATTGTGAATGTACAGCAAAAACAATTTTTTTTTTTTTTAACGAAATTAAAAAATTTTTTTAAATTACCATTGCATATTTATAGGGATTGTTAATTTAAATTTAATATTGAATGTTTTAAAATTGGATTTTTTTTATTTTAAATTTTTTAACTAACTAGTATTGGCTGTAATTTGAAATAAAGAAAAAAAACGAAACGTAGTAAAATGCGCGGAAATAATTCTTCTAAATTTTATCGATTATGGGTTTAACGTAAAATATTTTTGAGCGTCCCAGAATTATAGCTGTGATTAATAGAATAAAATTAATCATCACTAAGACTATAAATACATAGTTGAATAATTTAAATTCTACTTTAATGGAACCAATTGTATTACTCGAAAATTTCGATAATAATAGATTTTTTAAAACGTATTAAAATTTTCGACTAAAATGCTCTTCTTAAAATATACAAATGTGATTTTATCCAAAAATTATAGTGCAGTATTATTTACCTTTTAAAAATTTTAATAGGAAAAGGCCTAATTTAATTTTGGGTTTTCAACCAAACCAGACCTATCACTGTACATAGATTAACCCATTAAATTCATTTATAAATATAGCTTGAGAAAAAAATTTTAAAATTTAAAATTTCAATATGGTTCATTTAATCAAGCTTTAAAAAAGGAAAATAATAGAGTGAAACAACCATAATTGGAATTAAATAAGATGATTTTCTAGTAATCTATACATATTTGAATAGTGTTATAAAATTATTTAAAGAAAACTACAAATAATATTCTTAAAACTGATCATATTTAATAAACATAATAATTATTTACATGTACACATATGCACCATTTGTTACTAAATACCAAAAAAATAATTTTTCTAAAATCATAGAATAAAATATTTTAAAATTTACTCTAATGTTATTTTATTATACATAAAACTTTACATTGTTAAATAAAAATTGATATTCTATAGCACAACATAATATCCGCACTTTAATAATGATTTATAAATAATGTTGTGCTCTATTTTCAAAAAAAATCATTCTAATTTTACCACCATCCACGTGTAATATTATGGTGATCATAATAATTATATTTAACTATTATAAATTGATATGGGATATCTCATGATAGTTCCTTATATAATACATTTAAAACCAAATATAACAAAAATAATTTAATTCTATCTGCAATATAATCATTCAAAATCTATTATTATTTAATTTTTCGAAATTATGGCATTATTATATGCTATAATATTATACAAACATTAAAATATTCTAACTATGTTATATATAGCGCAAATATAATTGTATATGAAAAAATTTTCAAATTATATTAAAAGAAAAATTATGATTTTGGTAATTATTTAAAAATCAAAATCCATTCATTAAGATTAATCATATTTTATGCAGCATATTTCCTTATTTCTGTATTTGGAGTAAAAAAAAAACATACATTTAGGAGAATACAGTTAGTTAATCTAAAACGTGTAAGTTTCAAAACTAACTGTAGTTATACATATAGTTAGTTTTTAAAATTTTAAGTTCGAAAATGTCAGTAACAAAAATTCAATTAAAATTATTTACTTAAAATTAAATTTTATTGCATACATTTAGGAGAAAGTTATAAAAAGGATTAAATTTTGTACTAGCATAGCAAAGGATTTGATAGGAAGTTAATTTAATTAAGAACTTAACTCTTAATATTGGATAACAGAAGACATTCTTCGTTAAAATAACTGGCCGGGAATCGAATTTTTTTTCATAATTTTAGAAGTCATAGCTCAGAAGAGGAAGGAAAATTATATTCTTATTGAATTCCAGTTTTTTACTTCGAATTTTTATAAGCCATACTAATGACTACTTGAGTACAGACAGACAAATTGAAACTAAAGCACATATTTTTTAAAATTTATCATAATATTTAAATTAAAAATTACATACCAATTTTCATATACAAAATGTTCTTAAATCGAATTCAACTGCATCAGCTAAAATAAATTTGAATTTTCGGGAAAATATTTTATGGTGCATATACAACTGTTATACTATTACATTTTACATACCTAACATGTTATTATGAAACATAAACAAAAATACAAAAAAAAATTCTTTTAATTGATTATTAAAATTTTTGAATTTTAAATACAAACATACATACAACCATGCAACCACATTATGTGCATTTTAAAAATATAAAGCATTTTTTTTTTCATTTCAAATATATTTGAATTTCATAATTGAACATTAATGAAAATTTCCTAATAAGTGGTTTAATATTATATACTATATAAAATAACATGTTTGTATTATGGTGTACATGTATGGTATAGTGACAAGGCCATATTTAAATTGAAAATTAATTTTTTAATTTTATGGTAATACAAACCGTTTATGTACATGAAGCATAATAGAAAGTGTACGAAATCAACTTATTCTTTTTAAATAATTAAAATTTCTGTTTCAATTATCTTATACTGCAATGATATTGCTATAAGCTCATATGACTTCCAAAAAAGACTCAAAATATCCTTTAAATTATTTATTATATAGCCTAGAATATAAAATTCATATATAAGATTTATAATTTTATTGAAAACTAATTTAAATTAAACTCACGAGCGCAATCAGCACAAATTTTGGGTCTAACTGTGTACAGCAACTATAATATCCATCACTAATAGCTAAAACAAAAAGAAAATAAATAGACCACATGACGTTCTATATTTTTGTGTATACATTGTAATTTTACATTAAAATTATTCATAGTAAATCTAAATACGTTCATATATTCAATTAATTAGTATTTAAAATAGATAAAGATTTTCATATATGCAAGCACAATATTCAAATAATATTATGAATTTTATATGCAAACAAATATTATTGTGTATATAAGGTTATCATAGGTTAATATCCAACAGAAATACTATGAGATCAGAATTATTAGTTTAATATTAAAACGCTTTTGAAATATTTGAAAATTCTTATGCGAAATTTCGAAAATTTCTAAAATATTTTTAATTTATAAGGAAATTCTAATATAATTCTAATACAATTGTTTTAAATTTAATTTTATCATGCCTTATTATTGCTATAAACATATATAACACTGACTTACATGTTCTTATATCTGCATTTATTGCATATACCACGCAAAATTAGTTCATCTGGCGTTTGTATTATACAAAATTTATCATAGAATACATAAATAATAAAGCAACTTTAAATAATTGAGAATTTTATCACCTAGATTATGGTTATTTTAACAGTATCAAATAGAATATTGCGAATAGAATGCTTATATATTCCTGCGAATACATAAATTTTTAAAGTAATTGTCATAAACTCGTGGAATTTTCAATAAGGATGAGAAAAGACTATTAAAATTTTTGAATTACGAGTATAACAATATACTGACTTTATTCGGCTTTCCAGAAAATTTCAATTATTATGCAGAGTATTTTCTGGCTAAATTTCTAAAGATAAAACGTTTTAACGAAATTATTGAATTGAGCGCATATACAGTAACTTAAAAAAATATTACATTACTTGTTAATTTTGAAAAATCGTCACATTCGTAAGTTTCTGATTCAAGTCCAGTTCGGAAAGAAAAGTTTTTAATTTTTTTGCCTTAACTCGGCAGAACTCTTCGGCTACGTCATCCTTTTTTTCTGCAGTTATACGATAATGTTTTTATAATTTATTTTCATTTCCTTGTTAAACTAGAAGTAAAAGGAGATTTCTAGGTGAATTTTCAAAACTGGGATAACCGATTTACAGTTGGATAGTTGATTGGTTGACGTGGCTGGTGTATCAGGTCCTTTCCACCCCAATCATCGCAAATGTATGTCGTTTTGCTACAACTACCCTGTGATCATTCCTGAATACCCCTGAATCACCCTGTGATTCTCTTGAACAATCTATCTAAATCCCCACTAATCTTTGATATCTAGTTCAACCCCGTCACATATGCTCTGCCTCACTTGACCAGTCTGTCTTCGCCCAGAGTAAGACACTCGCAAAGTTAGTGGAAAATTATCTCTTTTTTATCCATCTCCTAGCAGCTGCGACACGTTGTGTTGAAGACCAATCCCAGCCTAGCCAAATGTACCCCCAACGGCCAGTGTCCCGGGTAAACTGTCATTAGGCAGACAATGTCAATAAATAACACGCATTCGCATGTAAGTTAAAAATTAAGAATGATGCTATTTCTCATTATATTGCCAATATGAAAATCACAAAAATTATACTTAACTAATTTAAAATTCACCACCATTACCACATATAAATCATAATAATTATATAACTTTAAAACAATTTTAAAGTTTATTTTAAATTTCATTCCATTGTATGGAATGAATTTTAAAAATTATTTTAAAATTCATTCCATACACACTATTATTTAAATATTATTTTCAAGGATAACAATTTGTACAGCAATAAAAAATTTTTTTTTACATTAATTTAAATCCTTGAACAAAAAATAATATTAAAAAAAAAACAGAAAGAATATATTTATATTAAATGAATTATTTTTAATTAAATAAATGTTAACTTAATTTTTATGTACATAATAATTTAATTTTTAATATTTTTTTTCTTTTATACATACATACACACGTATATTATGTTGTGGATGTTATAATTAATTAAAATTTATTATATAAAATGTAAAATATATTTATGTGAAAAATGTGGAAAAAAAATACAACAAAGTCACTTTTTATTAAATAAATCAAAGGCAATACAAGTGAATGTTTTTTAATTATATTCAAATTGTATGTGTATATGAACAAATTCACATATGAAATGTAAGCACTATTAAAATTTACTTTGTACGAGTATAAATTAAAATTTAAACAAAAAAATCATGTAAAAATTATAGGCGCGTATAATGGACGTACAGTATTTTCGTTGGGGAAATTTTCTCAATTTACTATATTATAATATTTACTGACCGGGTTTGTGCCTTTACTGGCTGCTTCACTAGACATTATCCGGTGAAATATCACTTGCACAAACTGGGCAAATCGGACTCCCTTTTGTCTACGTTCTGAGAAGCTGATGAGGAGACGGCGATACATATTCTGTGTAACTGTCTTGCTCTGGCTGCTAGGAGGTGCAGATGGTTTGGGCGATTCTTTCTCAATGTTACGAAGCTCGCGTCCAACTCTCTGAAGAATATCTTCGGGTATTTGCTTGGAACCGAAATAGTGTAAGTGCGATATGGGAGGACTACAATAAGTCATGGCTGGCTGCGGTGGTCCGAGGGAGGAAATTTCTTTGCCCATATCTCTCTTTAATAATAAAAAAATAATAAATATAAATACTATACATATTATAATGACAAAAAGTTTGAATGACAATTGACTGCATTTACACAACGATTTTTGTATCAATGGATTGCGAACAAACTTTGTTGGCAAGGGGAATAAAACGCATGTCAACCTCTAATTGAAAATACCATTTTCGACTTTGTTACCAAGCGAAGCCTAGTATTAAATGCAATTAACTAAGTTAAAATTATTATAGATGAGTAAAATTTAAATTTTGTAACTTGTGAGCATTTTCAGTTGGCTGCTTTGCATGATGACATTTCTTATTATACCGAAATGAATTGAATGAAAATTAGTTTTTAAAATGATTTCAAATTTTTAATTTAAATTTAATCTATATATCTAACCATGCATGGTTCTGACTTGTTCAGCACCCTACACGGTTTTCCAAAAAGTGAGCTCTCCCTGTAAAATCCAATTTTTTTTTTAAGGTTTTTTAATTTTTTTTTAAGGTTCAATCGCAGCACCTGTTTCCTGACGCTCATTGCAAATGCTTTCTTTGCATATATGGTAGATCCGGTATTGTACTTACCCATGCCATTTATACATTAAAGAAAATATAAATAAATTAAATTCAATTCGAATATCAAATGCCATATTTCAATTAATTAATTAAATTTTTTGACCACATATTTCTATAATGGAAAGTATAACCGATAAAGTCTCAAATCAATAATCGTAATCGGATTTGGAAAACTTAAATAATTATAATAAGTAGTGAAAAGAATTTTTAGAGAAAAATTTTAACACTTCTGTTCTAAAATTTTCTGATAAATAAATTGAAAAATTCGGCATTTCTCTATATACAATTGATAATCTCAAAAATTCCTATTCTACTTCTCAATAATTCCGAAAAGCTCCATATATATTCTTACATACAAATACTTTATAGAACCGAAATGAATAACTATTTTATTATTTGACCCGAAATTAATTTAAAAAAAAAAAAATAAAAAGTGGGAGCACTTTTATCACGAAAATTTTTAAAAGGATACTTTTTTATTTTGTAACTTTTTTCTTTTAATTTTCTATTTTCTTTTGCTTTTTTCTTTTTCACATCAATTTTAATATCGATTGACCGACTTAATTGTGAAAAAAAAAAAACAAACTACGCAAAAAAAAAAAAAGGGAAATATAATTAAAATTTATTTCATTTTCATTTTCACTTTTATTTTCTCTTTTACACTTTTTTCTCCTATAAATTTTTCTCATTTTATTTTTCCTGTTTTTATATATGTATAACATTGTATGTAAAAATGTAAATCCGATTAAATAACATTGAAATTTATAATAAATTTTTTTTCTTTTTTTTAAATTAAACAAAATATCTGTTATATATGCACACACGGCGATGTCTATACATGCGAATGTATGTATATATGCATAATTATAAATAAACTGTAAATAGTATAAACCCACATTATCACGTTATATGAGCAGCACCAGTACAATAAATGTATATGTACGCGATATGCAAATACAAAGGCGATAATTTTTGCTTACCACATATATTTTCATACATACTCCATAATATGTAAGCATTACTATACTATCAAATTAAATACAAGATATAATATAATTTTAAATAAAGCATAAATTAATAGAGTTACCATATTGTAATTTATATTCAGATCAGAATGTGTTATATTGTGGGTTTTGTGCTAATAGAATATATGTGATTCGCGGTAATGTGTATAGTACGAATATTTTCTTTTAAAAAGCACATACCTTGGAGTTAATTCGGAAATTATTCGAAATTTACTACTCCTCGAAAACAATAGGAACAAAATATAATACGTGTTTAATGAAAAGCTCATGACAAGCTTTAATATTCAAACTGTTATACGATTTATGTATATGAAATCCAAATTTCATGTCATTTCTCGATCTAGTAGAGTGAAATACGGCAAATGTACTAAGTATAACAATTTTATAAAAATTAACTGAACATTAAAACCGAATTTCTCATACATATGGCAATTAATAACAGTTTGGTAATCTTATGTAGAAAAAAAATTTAAAACAATTTTTTAATATTTTTACCTCGTTATCTCATAAATTTAACGGTAGTTTATAGTACAAAAAAATAAGTTCAGAATAATTTTTTTTCCCTCTCGCATTTACTTTCCTCTTTGCCTACTCATTTTATTTTTTTTTGCTTCCACTTGAAATTGAAATATAAAAAAATAATGAAATATTTTTTCTATAGTTGTAGTAGCACAAGAAAAAACTGAATTTTTCAATTCAATTGAAAAATAAAAATAAAATAATTAATATTTATCCAATTTTGCTTTCTCTCCCTTTCTACAATTATATTTTTGAAAACAATATTAATATTTTTTTCTTATTTTATTTTATTTCAGATAAAAAAATGACGAAATGGCGACAAAAAATTCCAGAAACAACCACAACAAATTCAACTTTAAAATTATTATTAAAAAATTCACAGGAAATATCCGGTGAATTTTTATCATATAACATGAAAATTTCACTAGACGAATATTATCGAGAACAACAAAATCAACTAAAACAACAACAACAAAAAAATAATAATAATAATTTAAATCAACTGGATCAGGAATATAATAATAATTATCAAAATCAACATCAATATCATCATTATCATTATCATAATGAAAATCACTATCATTACAACCACCGATATAATAAAAATTATTTTCTTCAAGAACAATTAGAGCAACTACAAAAAAATCAAGAAAAAAAACAAAAAAATCAACTAAAACAAAGAAAAAAAAATAATAATGATTTTTTTATAAAAGAATTTTCAATTAGTTTTTTATTTTATAATTTATTATTATTTAAAAAATTTCGAAATAATTCATTATTACAATTATTATCAACGTCAACATCATCAACATCATCATCAACAACTTCAACAACAATATCATCATCATCAACAACATCAACGTCAACGTCAACGTCAACAATAAAAAATAGTAAAAATGGAATAGCAATAATAATATTAGGTATAATAAAATTATTAACATTTATACCATTAATGGTATCAGGAGCTGTGACAACACAAACAACATTGACAACAACAATTTCATCAAATTATTTACTATTACCATCATTTAATCAAACAATAAATAATATTGAAAAACCTACTATTTATTTAGAAAATAATAACAATTTATTATTAGAAACTCCAGCTACATTAGCAGTATTATCATCTAGCTCAAATTTACAACAACAAAAACAACAGCGTCGTAATAAAAATAATAAAAATAATAATAATAATAACAATTATAATAGTGATAATATTGGAAGATCATCATCATCATATAATTTATTACAACAGCAACAACAGCAACAACAACAACAACAGCAACAACAAAAATTATTATTGTCATCAACAATTGCACCAAAATTATTAGTTACTAAAACGAATTTAACAACAACAACAAAAAATGATGTTATGTTAAATGTAACAGCAACTGTTGTGACAAATAACAATATTACATATAATAATAATAATAATAATAATAATAATATAAATATAAATAAATTAAATAATAGTAATAAGGGAAATAGTAGACAAGATAGATCAAATACTGGTAGTAGTATTAATAATAATAACAGTGGTGGTAATAGTGGAAATAGAAATAATAATAGTGGTGGTGATGGTAGAAAACCATCACCAATGAGCCTTAAAAAACAATGTTCCATGTCTGAATATACATGCACAAATGGTAGATGTGTTTCACTAAATAAATTTTGTGATCTTATTAATGATTGCGGTGATGGTAGTGATGAACCAAGATTTTGTACAAGTAAGTGAAAATTTTAATTTTTTCTCTCTCTCTCTCTCTCTCTCTCTGAAATTCTATTTTCTTGGGCCTATAAATGACATTACATAAGTAATAAGTAGCCAGTTAATAAAAACATTTTCTAAAAGAATTTTTGATTTCTAAATAATATTACAATCCGCCCATAATTTTAAAAATAATAAAACTGTTATACAGCTTCAAATAATTTTCAAATGAAAAATATTTTTCACACATATTTTTTAAAAATATTTCAAGCAATGTTCAAATTTCAAATTTACTTTATGCAAAAATAATCAACTTAAATTTAATTTATAATCAAAAAAATTTTGCTTAGAGTCTTGTAAATTTTGCATAACAGCACTCAGTACAAGTAAATTTAAAAAGTATTTTATAGAATTGCGCCATTTAAAACTATACCATGCATATGTACAAATGTATATGTAAACTCTTTGTTTTTTCATATATCAAAGTTAAAAGTTGAGTTTACTTAAACTATACATACACACACTATAAAAAGTTTATTTCATTCATCCATACAAACATACAAAAATGTAAATTTACATTCTCTAAATATTTTAAATTTTATTTTACATTTCACATTTTTACAATATTATAAAAAATGTGCTGTTTAAGCATCCACAAATAATCATTTTCTTTTTTAATATTTAAATATGCAAAAATTTTATAAAATTTTATGTAAAACAAAAAAAAAATTTAAACTTTTATATTATTATGTATGTACGTATTATATTATGTACATTATGCAAAGTATACATACTGTTATATCATATGAATCTCATTTATGTTCAAATACAATTGGCATGCCAATGAATTTGCAAAAGTAATTTTTTTCCCCCAAAATATTATTTTATTTAGTATGTTAGTTTTATTTTAATTTTCTTCTTTTCTGTATAAAAGTTTTTGTTTTTCTTTATAAAATTATGTACGTACGTATAACATTATTTACTTAATGGTAAATGCAATACAGAAATGAACCCTTTTGTATAAACACAGTTTTTTTTTATCATTAAGTAAAACAAAAACCAAATTTAAAAACTAAAATTTTAGGAAAGTCTAGTTTTTTTGATAATTCACATAATTTTCAAAACAGAAAAAGTTTCTAGAAAAAAAATTTTTGTAAACAAACTCTGCTTTTTTTTTGAGCAAAAAATTTGCACTGAAACAATTTTTTTTTTATTTTTGCGTTTTGATTTTGAAAAAAAAAAAAACCGCCTAAATTTCTAGAAAATAATAATTATCTTGAACTGAATTACGGAAATTTAATAAAAATTTAATGTATTCCTCAAAAGATAGAAGAAATTAAAAGACTTTTACAATTTACAAAAATAGTTTTGCAATAATTTGGAGCAGGTGCATGGGTAAATTTTTTATACTTGATTTCCAAATGAAAACTACGTATATGATAAAGTAGCAGTTCTAATTTTTTGACTTCACATGAGCACAATATCCCATCATTGAGCGTTTTTGCTTTCTGTGCTTAAAGATTGAAACTGATTAGATTCAGATTTGTCAGAGCATGCTCTTATCAAGTGAAAAAGAAATTATAATTTGAGAGCCAAAGAAAGTTTTGTGCATTAAAATGTCAAAGAAAGTAGATATATGAGCTCAATGACATCCGAACATTTTTTTGAGCACATAAAGCATTAGTTAAGTTAAGTTAACAGCAATTTTTAGCTTTCAAAGTACATATTATAATGTACTAGTTAGTATTTAAATTAAAGATATTTCTCAATCGATTTCAGTTTAACTTGACTAAATTTGGTTTGTAATTGCATGATTTTGTGGCACGGTATGTTTCCTCAAGTCACAGTATATTTCCTTAAGTTAGAAACACATGTGATATCATGTGACTTTAAGCGGTCGCTTCGGAATAAGCACTAACTGAAGATAGCCCTCGCTTCTAAACCAAACGAAACGGCACATTTTTTTTTACTTACTCTGCTCTATTATAACGTTATTGAAAGAGTTTTGCTATTTACAGTTAAACCCTTTCGGCAATAAGAAATTACCACAAATTTTTATAATCGAATTCATAAAAATTTGATTCTTTATTTGTACGTCAGACTCCCAATTTCGGAATCAATTGTGAATTTTCTTTAATTTTTATACTAACACATATAATATTTACATATGTGCATACATACAAGTATATTTCCTTTATAATATTGTAATTACTTATAATTTTATGTTTCACCAATTTTTTTAAAATTCATTCTTTTTCACTTTTTTTGTCTCAAACAGGATGTAATAGAACCTATTATGGTGATATAGGATTAACATATTCATTAGAATTACATCGACCAAAACAGGATCGTATACCATTTATATGTATGCTTACAATATCAGCTGGTGGTGGTAAACATGGTGATATTGTTCAGGTAAGCAAAAAATCTTTCATATATATTAAAAATTTATATATGTACATTACATATATATACAGATATTTATTATAATTTTGACTAATTTACATACATAGTTACATAAATAAATCCTTTGTTAACCAAAATCTACTATTGCATAATAAATTGAAGATAAGTTTTTTGAATAAATTTAAAATATCTTGAGATACACATACGAGTACATATAAAATGTTTGGTTTTTGATCATTTTCTGAGTTTATATATATAAAGTTCATTGTCCCTCATGTAGCAAATTGCTTTTTTTTAAATAAATCACAAAAAAAATGTAAAATATTTTAAGTTTTAAATGTAACTAAATCTGTGGTTACAAGCAATAACTGCCTAATAGGATAGATTTTAAATTTATTAGGAATTTGTGTTCTTCATAATTAGTTAAGTGTATGTCCTTGATTCACCTCACTTAGTTGTGAATTGCAATACAACAATGTAAAATTACTTTTGAGACCAAATTAAAACTTATATTTACTCGGAAACAAACATATCCCCCATTTAGTTAGTTCTTTCTTAATACCATTGAAATTTTCACATCTAAACAACCAAACAATCAGGATAATAACCGACCAATCTGCAATACTAACCATATTAGGGTAACCAATGTAAATAAACAAAATTCAAATAATGCATATTTTTACATTATTTTTCTAAAATCTTTTGTTTTAAAATACTTGAATAATTTTCTTTAAAAAAGTAAAATATAAAAATAAAAACAAAATTATTTTTATCCTTGCAACATATTGTCTTCTCTTAAACACGTGTCAAAGTGGCTATAACAATTTTCTTTTCTACCTAGTATCCATACATCCCTGTAAAAAAAGAAATATCCATAACATCCTTAAAAAAAGTTTTTTGTCAACCTTTATTTCCAGGATAAATTTTAAAGTGGAAAACTACAAAATTCTAGTAAACAATATGAACATGGTATACAATGTCGAATTAACAATATGTTTTGTTCAAGATTCTTGCTTCCTCTTTGCTAAAATGTCAGCTATACGCATATAGACTAGTTTAACAATAAACTAAGATATCTAATTGAAAATATTCTTGATCTAATAAGTGAATAATTAATTTTGAATTATTTTAAAGGACAATGACTTGACAAATTATTTTGTAAACCAAAATGAGAATATAGTCACGATTTTACGAGATAACAAACCCTACAGAAAATAAATCACTACTTATTCCTGGACGTTCAATAAAGCCTGAGTTCAATTCCTGGCCTGGTTTCAGTATTTATATCGGAAAATATTTGAGTGAAATATAGGCAAATCAATTTAAGTGACTGATAGTTAAAATTGAATGAGTTTAAAAAGATTTCAATGTAAAATCTTATTCTCTTTTAGAAAAATCAAATAAGGAAAAATATTGAGAAACAGGACGAAAGGGATTCCATATTTAATATTATAAATGTAATGGAGGGAAATACATTTGAATTGTGTTCCTCTGTCATTAAACAAATAAACCAAACGTCATTCAAAATACTATTTAAAATTGAAATTCCCATTTTGAATTTAGCACTCTGTATAGACAATCGCATTTCATAGCAAATTTTTTGGTTTTCAAAATCAGAAAACACGTCTATTATATTTATTCGTTTGACCATTTTAAGCTGATCAACTAGATTAACTTTAATGTCTTCTTTGCTTCCTTTATACAGTTAAGGTTCACCTTTATTTTATATTTCATCCCCATTCTTTTTTTCTTCTAGATTTATCCTCTATATCTAATCTAATAATGGTTTTGTTAAAATAGTATTAAAAAGAGTTTGAAAAAATAAAAAAAAAAGTGAGTAAGAAAAAAACGGATTTTATAACATTCATTTGAATTTCATAAACGAATCCTTTAACTTCCTTTTATTCGTATATCACCTATACACTTATATATTGGAGAAAAAATCTCATAAAGAAAAATTATAATGAGAAACCAAGTAAAAATAAATGAATATTTTTATTACAACATTGCACAACAAAAAAAGGACATTCTTTTATGATCTTTGTTTTTCTTTGTTCTTTATGATTTTTTTTTTTTTTGAATTGCTTTATTGTTAAGCAACACACACAAGATAATTTTATTCAAACCCTATCTTTTAAGACTTCATATACACACGTACACAAGCATTTTTAAAGTATGAAATCTTTGAATTTCAAATTTTTTTATAAAGAAAACTTAAAAGGTAAAATAAAGAAATTCTTATTTTGCCTCTTCCCAAAAAAAAAAACAAAATAAGAAAAAACCCACAATGATAAAAAAAATTTTTAAAAGCATGTCCTTTTTTTTATGATTTTTTAACGGTTTTTTTTTTATTTCAAGCATAAAAAAAACCAAAGCTACTTTGTAAAATATAATTGATCAAAATTTTGGAAAATTTTGTAAATTTGAAAACCTTTAAGCTTGTAGAATTGGTAAAGGTTGCACAGTATACTCTCATATATTTTACTCATACTACCCTCACATACTTATGCCCTCATATACTCATACCCTCATATACTCATACCCCTATATACTCATACCCCTATATAGTTTTTTTCATACAATAGGCAATTAAAAATTAATTCTCCATTAAGATAGTGTGTGAGAATAGTGGACTTAGATTTATTTAAGAGTATGCTTGATTACTTGATTGTTTAGAAAAACTTTTACAATTCTGTAAAAAAATCATTAAATTAGAATTTATAAGCTATTGAATAATAGGATTGACGACCACAATTATTCGATAATATAATTTTTGAAAGCTGAATCAATTGAATTGACGTATTACACCTGGAATTTGGTAGACCATATCATATAAGCAGAAAAAAATTTAAATAATATCAATAATTATTGTAAGATAAAATATGGAATAGCCAGATTTGAATAGCAGATCTATTTCATTATTAAAACTATGGTATTTTTTTTTAATTCAACAATATTTTAGGCCTGCGAATTTAAAATTGTAATAATACTGTATTTTTTTTCGTCCCTATAGGAGGAACATAGGGCTAATGCATAACATGATAGATAGTCATACCCCAGTTTCATTATGTCATTAGGTTTTAACTGGGTATGTGACTAGCCTCCCGTAGTTTTTTCTTTATATTAAATATTTAAGAATATTATTAAATATATAATTTCTTATATTAATATTTTATTAATAAATTGATATTAGTACCAGAATTACTGCATTTTCGAAGTCATGAATCGCTAACCAACAGAATTCAATTCCTAATATACCACAAAACGAAACACTCATCAAAATCAAATTTATTTTGGAACATATTTCAATAAAATGTGCGTATATAAATTTATGTACGTCAATTTTCTTGTGTACTGGTGATTGTATACTTTATATATAAAAATCTTAATAGAATAGAAAAACGTGCTTAATTAAAATTTATTTATTATTTGTATAATAAATTCAAAAACATCTATGGTTTCTTTACAATATACTTTTACTTTACACAGATGAAAAAAATTTACCTTTATATTTTCTCAGTATCTCTCTCTCTCTCAATTATTGTACTTTGATAACTCAACAGAATAATAAAAATTTTAACAACGACATCTCGTGCACAATTTACAAAAAAAAAAAAAAAAATAAAATTAGAAAAATCTTTTTTATCTAATACAATACAAAATCCTTTTTAACTTAATAATGATCATTTTCTTTATAACTCCTTTATATTTTCACATTTCTTTCTTTCTATTTGAATGTTATCTTACAGGGTTCAACAAAATTCATTCAAACAAACAAACAAACAAAAAAAATATAACGAAAGCAGCTTAATTCGCCAAAAGCTAAAACAACATTTTTATTGTTTTTTTTTTTTAATATTTTTGAATTTTGAATTTTGCTTTATTTTTATTTTCCTCTTTTCATGAAAATTTTTATAATGTTAACCAATGGTTTCTTATATAATAGCAAGAAGAAGAAGAGAAGAATAAAAAACATAAAGGTCTTGAAATGTACATTTGACCTTTTAGGTTCAATTTTGTATAAATATCCCATATCCCAAGCAACTTTAAACTAAACAAAATGAAAAAAAAAAAAACAGACACAATAATAATATTTTTGAGGTCCTTTTTTTATTCTTCAAATTCTTTTCTATTCAATTTTACTATCATCTTAAAATTTAAAGGAATAATAAAAGAATATTTCAATTTTTTTTTTTCGCTTTTTGGTTTTTTCCCTCTTTAATTCGTTCGCATCGTATTTCTTTTTTCTTAAAATACGAGCTAAACACAATATTATATTTGGAAAGGATAAAGTATATAATAATGAGAAAATATAAAAAAAAATGAACGAATGACAAAATGAACGAAAGAGAAAAATTCTTTATAAGAAGAGAAAAAAGGATTAAAAGGTTATTATTTTCAACTTACTTGAACTTTTTTTTTTTGTTTATTAACAAGAAAAAAAATTTAAAATAAAAGCGAAATTTAGGATTACCATCCTCAATTTTAATTTAGGATTTTAGATAGATCTCATTTTATTCCAATAATTTGAGCAAAAAACTTATAACCTTTAATAATTTTATGAACGAAAATTGAAAAAAATCAAGTAAAATTGATATCAATTGCTTATAACCAAATCGAATTACATACATTTAGGAGGAAATATTAAAAAAAATGGAAGAAATTTGAAAAAAATAATGAAACTGTGGTACCTGATAATGAGACGGCGGAAACTAATGAAATTAACTTTAAATTGATATGACACAATTTTCTCTCTTACCATATTACTTAATTATATAAAAGCTCATTAGATCTAATAATTTTAGAGAAACAATTAATTTTGTAAAATTTATGTGGCATAATTAAATTAAAGTGACATAATAATAAAACTAATTCAAATTTACTGTTTTGGAGAAAAACTTCATTAAAAATTTAGACTAATAGTTAAGACTGAGACAATTTCTTTCAGGTAGAAAAAATAAAATTTATACGATTTTTCGCTATTTAAAGATTCAATAGTTTTTCGTTCT